CAGTGTCTCTGATGAGTCTGACCCCTGTGGTGAGGGGCAGTGGGCAGTGGGCAGTGTCTCTGATGAATCTGACCCTTGTGGTGAGGGGTGATGGTCAGTGTCTCTGATGAATCTGACCCTTGTGGTGAGGGGCAGTGGTCATTCTCTTATTAATCTGAATCTCTAATGAATCATGAATCATGAATGAATCAATGAATCTCTCATGAATTCATTTTCTATTGAATCTGACCCTTGTGGTGAGGGCAGTGGTCAGTATCTCTAAAGCATCTGACCTTTGTGGTGAGGTCAGTGGTCAGTGGTCAGTGTATTAAGAGTGTGTGTGCTGTGGTGAGGCCAGTGGTCAGTGTATTAAGAGTGTGTGTACTGTGGTGAGGCCAGTGGTCAGTGTATTAAGAGTGTGTGTGCTGTGGTGAGGGCAGTGGTCAGTGTATTAAGAGTGTGTGTGCTGCGGTGAGGGCAGTGGTCAGTGGTCAGTGTATTAAGAGTGTGCAGTCTGGTGACTTTGCGAGAATGCCAGTGTAGTAATTGAGCACCTGCCCTTCTGCGTGTCTGGCTTCCTCGGGATCGGTCCGGCGCCGCTGGACTCAGGAGTCGGGTGGGGCTCTGTCCTGAGTGCAGGAGGGCCAGCAGCTGCAGCCTCAAGCCTCCCTCCCTTCTCTCTGTCCAGGAGCGTGGCCCGGCGGACTGCGCGATCATGCGATAAGGGCCGAGGAGGCCGGACGACTCGAGAAGCCCCGCGACCTCTGGCTCCCCCGCTGTCCTCCCCCCGGGAGAGGACGCCCCCCACAGGCCGCCGCGCGCGCTATGAGGTGGCGGAGACACTAGCGGGAGCTCGGCGGCCCCTCCCCTCCCTCAGTCCCTCCTTCCTTCCTTCCTTCTGTCCTGCCGGAGCCTGCCCGCGGCCCGAGACCCCGCTCCGAGCGCTGACCGCCAGGGTGAGGCCGCTGACCCAACACCCCACTGGACTCTGGGACACGCGGGAGTCCGGAGAGCGAGGCCCACACACAGGGACACGGGGACTGCAGGGAAGGGCTTCTCCTCGCCCCGTCTGAGCAGCAGGACCCGCCGGCGCCCCCCTGATCCCGCGCCCCCTCCCCCTCTCCGCCCCGCCGTTTCGCCTGCTGGACTCTCTCCCCCCTCCGAGTGGCTATGCACACGAGGCGCAGTTCACAGCTGTCTTCACCATGCTCGGCCCGCTAGCCCGGCGGGGAGACCCTGCCTGCGCACCTCACGGTAAGACTCGCTCTGCTGTTGCTGTCCTGTCGCTCTCCTGTCGCTCTCCTGTCGCTCTCCTGTCGCTCTCCTGTCGCTGTCGTGTTGCTCTGCTGTTGCCCTTCTGTTGCTCTGCTGTCGCTCTCCTGTTGCTGTAGTGTTGCTGTTCTGTTTCCCTCCTGCTGTTGTCCTGTTGCTGAAGTGTTGCTGTACTGTCACTGTCCTGTTGCTCTCTTGTTGCTCTCCTTTTCATTGTCCTGTTAACCTACTGTCACTGTCCTCTTTCTCTGCTGTCGCTCTCCTGTTGCTGTAGTGTTGCTGTCCTGTTGCCCTCCTGTTGCTGTCCTGTTGCTCTCTCCTGTCACTATCCTGTTGCCCTCCTGTTGCTCTCCTGTTGCTGTCGTGTCGCTGTACTGTTTCTGTCCTGTCAGTGTCCTGTTGCTCTCCTGTTGATGTACTGTTGCTGTCCTGTCAGTGTCCTGTTGCTCTCCTGTAGCTGTACTGTCACTCTCCTGTTGCTGTCCTGTTGCTGTAGTTTTGCTGTCCTGTCACTCTCCTGTTGCTGTCCTGTTGCTGTAGTTTTGCTGTCCTGTCACTGTCCTGTTGCTCTCCTGTTGCTGTAGTTTTGCTGTCCTGTCACTGTCTTGTCACTGTCTTGTCACTGTCTTGTCACTGTCCTGTTGCTCTCCTGTTGCTCTCGTGTTGCTGTCGTGTTGCTGTCCAGTCACTGTTCCTGAAAGCCTGGCCTCGCTGTTGCCATGGTGTCCTAAATTTAAACCCTTTGGAAGTGTCTGTTTTGTACGGTGAGGCTCCTGGTCCTGACAGCCGTAGTCTTGTGGTTCTCCCTCCTGAGCAGCTAATGTCTTCATTGAATCAATTATTGCCTCTGCTGGTCTGAATCACCCGTGTTTCTGTGTCTTAAGCCACTGGGCTGTTAACAGGCCAGCTGGCCGCCCAATGGACAGGCTCTCAGTCTGAACGCTGACAGGTCACTGTCCGCGGGGGCTTCTCCACCTCTCTGCAGCACTGTCGTCCAGGCGGCAGACTTGGACTTCGGGTGTATCTGTTATGAGATAGGAAATCCAGCGTGTCAGTGTCACTGCTGCTCTGTCAATCAGGGAGAGCTTCTTACTGGCACTGATGCTGACACTGACAGTCCCGTTACAATAGGAGCTACAGTCCCAGTACAGTAGAACAGTCCTGTTACAATAGGGGCTACAGTCCCAGTACAGTAGAACAGTCCTGTTACAATAGGAGCTACAGTCCCAGTCCAGTAGACCAGTCTGTTACAATAGGAGCTACAGTCCCAGTACAGTAGACCAGTCTGTTACACTGGGGGCTACAGTCCCAGTCCAGTAGACCAGTCTGTTACACTGGGGGCTACAGTCCCAGTCCAGTAGTAGTGTAAAATGACAGTATGCCGGCATATTCGCTTTTTGGATGGAGCCAAATCTTCTGTTGTTTTGATTTGTCATTGACTTGTCTATTAACTCTAGTGAGAGGGTTATTGAGATATTGATCGTCTCTGTCCAGTATCGAGTATTGGATTATTTGCAAGGCTTCTGGACTATTGACAATTTAATTAATTGATCTGTTGGGCTTTTCTGCTGATGCTCAGGGGCTTTGCCTGAGATGAAGCTCCGTGTGTTTGTGCTCTGGTGGTGCTTGTGCGTGCTTGTGTCCGATGGACCGGCTCGGCCGCGTGTGTGGATGTGTGTGTCAGCCCTGCCCCAGTCCGACGCAGAGCCACCTGGCCGGCTGTCAGCCATGCCAGCGCTGGCCAGCGCCTCCGAGAGGCTGTGGGCACCGACGGTGTCACGCTGGCACTGGGGTCGCCGAAGGCTGAGCGGGACAATCTGCCAGCCTGCGTCTCTCCCAGCTCCCAGCTCCAGAGCCACTAGAGCCGCCAGCAGGGACAGGGCCTGCAGAGGCCTGAGGGGTGCAAATTAGAAACACCGCGGCCTCTAATTGCTGGGGATTATTAACGACGAGCCCTGCTAGCAGGAGCTGCCGAGTGAAGAGCGGCCCTGATCAGTGGTCTCTAACCCAGGGTGTGGAGGCACTGGGGAAAGACCACCTAATGAAGACACTCATGAGCTGAGTGCAGTTGGAGAGACCCACCCGTGTGCAGGAGCAGGGCTGGAGGGGCCCGTCTGTCTGTCAGGGCCGGGGAGGGTCTCCCAGACCAGGAACCTGCTCGATGGCAGGAGGCGTCGTGTGAGGAGCAGGGAGACTCCCCTGAGGAAGAGCTGGCCGAGCCTGGAGTCTCCTCCTGCTGTTCCCTCAGGGGCTGGGGAGAGCTGGCTTGTGTGGGACTGGGCAGCGGCGCAGCTGGGCTCACAGAGAGGCGCCTCCTGTTCTGTTCCGTTCCAGTGTTGAGTCTGGGTGGACGTGCTGCTCGTTTGTGGATGAAGTGATCCGTTCCGGACTGCAGAGGTCCGTAGCGCCTTTGCACACTTTGCCGAGCGACATCTGGCCTGGCCGATGGGTGGGCAGAGTGGACTTGACTTTCAGTGACAGGGGGGCACCCCGAAAGTGTCCCCGCCGCCCCTCCTAGTCCACCTGGGGCCTCTGCGCGGCTCCCTGCGCTATTTATACGCTATGTGGGCCACGGCCAGCCTCTCTCCTCTCTGCGCGGCACTGCGCAGCGCAGCGGAATGCTAATGAGACCCACACCCGGCCCTCCTCTCCCTCGCTCCCTCGCCCCTGCTCTCCTTTTGACTTTGAAGGCGAGAGCTCAGCGTCTCTCTCTCCCCTTCCTGCAGACCATCAGCCAGGCGTGAATGAGGAAATGAGGATCAAACGCAAAGAAAGAATGAGTGAATAAGTGAGCGAATGACAACAGGAACAGAGTGATAAGAAAGTGATTCTGGAAGAGGGCGGTGTCCCCCTCCCTGGAGCTGCTCTGAGCCTCCCCTGGGCTCCTGCCTGGCCAGGCGCCTCATGTCAGAAGCCTGATCAGGTGGTTGAGACGAGGGTAGTCATCAAGACCCCCTCTGCCCAGAGTCAGCTGCAGTCCACCTTGTGTCCATCCTTCGGGCGACCTGTGAGGCCTGTGTGAGGCCCCTGTTCGCCCCGAACCCCTGTCACTCTCTCTCCTTCCCGCTGCAAGTGAAGGGTTCGCCCCGAACTCCTGTCACTGTCTCTCCTGCCC